AAACATGTAAGCGCTTTAGTAAAATAAAGAAGTTTCACGCTACGATAGTCGTGTTATTTGCGCAACATCTCCCGCGCTTGACTCCTACTGCCCTTGTTCATTGTTTTTTGACTTATAAGGAGTCTTAGTTAGGTTGATTTATTATACGTTATACAAATTGCACGTCAATCATTTGTCTTAATATTTTTAACGTATATATTTATATGATATTTACCTATATGATTTGTATATGATTGTAATGTTTTTGTATCACACAATACACTTTGTGCTTGCAAAAACAGACTTGTTGTCAGAAGAGATGACACCAAAAATGAGCCGAGCAATTAATTGCTTTAAGGTACTTTACTCTTGTACGCGAGCCAGCACAGCCACACTCTTGGTCGAATTTTTCGACTGAAACAATGAGCAAAAAAATCGAGAATAGAGCAAAAAATTAGCAAAAAAATAGCCCTTCAAGAATATGTACTTGATTTTTCGTTTGCTGCTTTTTTTCTTTGTGGCTGTGCTAACTTTGATCTTAAGCTAGCACAGCCATGGGTTTTAGCGAATTGGCTGGAGCAAAAAAATCGGGAATAGAGCAAAAAATTATCAAAAAAATGTGGTATAGGTCGCGTTTGATTGTGCTGAAGTGGCTGTGCCAGCTTAATAGACGTTTTAATTTGTGATAGTATTACAGCAGTTCTGTCGGTACATCGTTTCAAGATCAAAAAATCAATTCGGCGCGCATTTAGATTTGCTACGTAATATATGTATAAATTCACACCGAAATATTTACACACTAAAGAGTAAAGATCTAACTTCGACCATTATAGCCTTTATTTCCTATTGATTGTGTATTCACAGGTACATTCCAATAAGATTCTTATTGTTAAGTTACTTTCTACTTCGTGAAGTTATACGCTTCGAAAGTGGCTAGCCACAGCCTAGAATCGACTGTCACACTATATATTATACATAGCTTGTTGCAATTTCGCAAAAATGTACACCGTTCTAAAATTCGTCGTTCAATTACTTCGGTAATTCGATAGCGTGCATATTTTCTCCCTCGTATATAATTAGAATCTTTATGCATTAACAAGTTTATTCGCTTGCGAGTATATTTGCCATATGCTTGCCTCTGTCATGCCGTCATGATTTCGACTTGGCGCAGCTGAATTTGCACATGTTCTCTTCAATGATCGATTATACGAAGAACGTACAGATATAAATTTAATGTAAAGGTGTGAATGAAAGTAATGTCAACTGTTGGGCGAAGCCCAAACCACTGGCAAAGTCATCAGAAGAGGAACGAGGTTAAATTTAAACCAATTTCTTAAGTTAAATAACATTTTATTATTTTTAACTTCCATGTCAAAATGTATTATTTTAATAGAAAACAACCACATCTAATCAACTCATTTCTGTGATCGAATTGCTTAGTTTAAAAGTAAGTAGCATTTATATTAATGTATATGCACTTAGTAAATAATGAAATAAAATTGAATTAAATTTAATACATTTTTTGAATGAAATTATTTAACTTCATTTTAGATAAATTAATGACTCATCGAGTAGGCGACTCTCTGAGAATAATAGGAATGATAGGAAAAATGACTCAAATTATAGTATAATTTGACATTATGAATTTAACAGTGTATAGACTCATATTTCGGTGTCGTAGAAATAGAATCAAATGAAGACTACAGAAGACATAAAATAATTGCATGCATATAATATCGCGATAACGAAAATTATGAAGGAATTTGAAACTCTGTATTCGCGATTTTCCGGCGTCCGATTATAATTGGCCTCCTAGATACTCTGGCCAATTATAGAACCGGCCGCCACGCTTTCGTGCGATATTTACGCCGCGAGTCCATCGCACTCCTTGGATCTTCAAGTGCAAGCACTTACGGTTTTAGCCGACAAACTGACCGGCTCTAATAATAATTTTCCGATGTGTTCTCGGCCTGGCGTAAATACTGTGAATTTCTGCGCAGAGTGCGCGAAGCGGTGCAAGGTCTGCTCAAACGTTAGTGCTACACAATACATCTACTGTACTTGTACCTGCTACATGAACCCATGAATAAAGCCATTTTTCGTATTTTCCATAAGATTTTGCAAATTTTTATACAGTATCTCGTTAATGAGATCTGATTCTGTCTAATTTTAATGTGATGTTATGTTCATTAAACAATTAAAATTATAAGGTAACTTTACCCAATATGATCTACCTAAAAGCGTTGCGATTTTTACTGAGTTCAACATTGAAAACTGGTAGTCAGATTCAAAATGGAAAGAAGGATTTCCGCGCGAATATTAATTGAAAATATAAAACGTTTTCAGTATTCACATGCGCGTAGTGAAGATTTAACTGTATATAATGTAGCTACTATTTACAGATTGTATAAGTAGGCCATGTTAGATACAATCTTCAAAGCTATTTTTTCAAAATTTCGAGAACATTTTATTCTATTTTTTTGTTATTTTAAAAACCATCCTCTTATCATTTAGACACGAATTGATCCACCTTATAATACTCATTTACTGCGCGTATAATAAATCTGTATTAAGTTTGTAAAAAAACGAAAAAGCTTTCCCCCGGGTACAAGTTTCTTCTATTTGTCTTGATTAATTTTTGTCACGCACAAAAAGTAATGTAGGATTTAGTGTACGTCTTACTTGGTTGGCACGAGAGAACGAAGTCTTATGACACGTATATGGTTCTTTACGAGAGCCATCAATTTCTCACATTCTTCTCTTTGAGGCTCGAAGTAGCTCGCCTCCAAAGTTTCCAGATACTCGGCTAAGTGGCGTTCACAATATAATCGCCGCCACGAGTTACCATGCTCACTTGGATCGTTGTATTCCCATCTGCGATGATAAGAGAAAATTCAATTGTACACAAATTGCTTACACAAACGCTTTTAATATTGATTGTTTATGCGTTTTAAAAGCATTCGTAGTCTGTTTACATGAAATCGTTGGTATTTTAACGGATAAATATATCCTTTATAGATAGAAATATTTTCGTAAGATAAATGGAAGTTAAAATAAAATTAAAAAATTAATTAAACATAATTAAAATTTAAAGTACCATGAAAGTCAACCAATTAAGATAAGAAATCAGACTAACAAAGGAAGGGATTCAAGTGTCTCCTTCCGATTTTATGTCTGTCTTGTAGACGAAAATAATGAAGGACATGTTTTTTTTATATATCAGCTATCACACTTTTAATTCTCCATTGCTGTCGTACGAGGCGAATGCTCAGTTTTAAATTGGATTTTCTAATTACATAGATGTGACAGAAAAATTGACTTTGAAACTTTCTGACTTTTTACTTACAATCTCCTAGATTATATTTGCATGGTTGTTTTCTCAATTTTGTAAGATCAGAAATTACAGTCAATTAATGTCAAATAAAGTTGACTATTATTTAGCCACGATTAATGCGCAATTTCGATTAGTAGATTTAATGCGTAAAGTTCATAATAGCATTCGATAGTATGCTATTATGTAATAATATTTCACGTAATCGAGAATCGATAAGTGATTCGTCTTGCCTGTCCTTGGCCGCGCGTTCCCAATAAACCTCATCCTCGATTCTTGATATCGTCAACTCGAAGGGTAGATCAGTCGGTAGTGTTTCCAGCAATACATTCCTGTCGGCGCACATCGGCAGGTCCTCCAGAACAGGATTATCCTTCCAGGTCGAAACTATGGTACGAAGCGCGAGAATTTTTAAATCGGGGATTACGCTGTCGTCCCACGAAGCGTCTTCCGCTCGGAGCGTCCTTCCTTGCTCCTGCAGTAACGATGAGGTTTCTGGCGAGCACCTACGAGCCAATTTGCCAAGACAAATACGATGTATGTTAAACGAGTGAAGTCAATATTATTTGCGTATCTTTATAATACGAAGATTTTGAGGATTGCCGCATCCCTGATGCGATAGGCGGATACTTCGAATTGTTGAAATTAAATTGCTTTAAAAGGATATTTTAAAAAGAACATCTTTCAAAGAATACCTTTATTCAAGGAAAATTCGATTTGCGCGTATACATATATGGAAATCAGGATATACGAGGTGAGATAAGAGAAGGCGTGAGAGGAACTTATTTATTCTATTCTATTTTACCTATACGCAGCTACAACGTTCTTCGATATCGTGTGCGGGATCCTCATTGTTCTCGTTTGCTTCTGCACAAAGATGGAAAACATGAGAGTTACTTCACGATAGTTTGCGAAACGTTATCGTAGATGATTTACGATACGTTCGTAGTTTCGATTTGTTATTTCTTACAGGGGGATATGAAAATATGTGGATCGATAAAACTGTTACCTATGTAATTGGTAACAGTTTTATCAACTATTTCACGTCTATACTACTAGTATCACGATATTAAGCAACCAATATTATCCTGTGCTTTGTTGATGGACGAACGAGTCGGTGTCTCACCAGTATGTATATATTTTCAAGCCACAGAAAAATATAGCATTGCTCGTTCGAACAAATGATCACCGGAAAATATACATATACGTACATATATATAGAGTGTCGCTTAATCTTTCTCTGATAAAACTCTCGCGGAACTGAGTATGATCGTTTTTCACGGCCTTTTTTGTTTTTCTTTTTTTCCAGGAGTGTCCCGAGGGAGTAGTGCACGAGGACTCATTCAAGGACATTTACGCGAAATTCTTCCCGCACGGCAGTGAGTTCCAATTAAATAACAGTCTACGTTTTTGCGTAATTAGTTAATGGCCACCCCTCATGCGAATTGCAGACTCCAGTCTCTACGCCCACTACGTGTTCAAGGCCTTCGACGTTAATTGCAACGGGGCCATCAGCTTCAGGGTAATTAAGTCTCTCTATCTTTCTCTCATGTAATGTATAGTCTTTTCATTAATTTTAAATTGACTGATATATCGCTAGTGTATATCTTTGCTTTCGAATAACGACGTGCGACATGTGTCCTCGTCTTGAAATACGTCGCGCATCATTTGTGCGAGAAAATTTTCCTGTGATAACCTCCTAAACGCACATATATGCATTGACGAAACAAAGCAATCACTTAGAATATCTTAAATTTTATTTATTTATTTGAATACTTAATTGATTGTCAAGTACACAAAATATACCTTGTACACTGAGAGAAAAGTGTTTTGTGTTTGTGATTATATGTAATTTTATGGTAAAATAATTATAATTAGGAGCTCCATTTTTATATTACTGTATCCAGCAAACACAGATATATGTCTAACTGTTGTATAACATGTAACTAACATATATGTTGCATGTAGCATACATGTTAGTTAACTAACATGTTATAACATGTTACATTGTAATCATGTTGTAATTACACTTAGATAGAAGAATATAATTTGTTGATATGGTAGGACGCCAAAGTTAACTAAATATCTTTGACATCCTACGATGCCAACAAATCATTGTGCGATCTGGCTAATTACAATATAACTACAATAAATAACAATTGTTATTTCCCATTCATAGATGTAATTTATTGTAGTTATATTGTAATTAGCCAGATCGCACAATGATTTGTTGGCATCGTAGGATGTCAAAGATATTTAGTTAACTTTGGCGTCCTACCATATCAACAAATTATATTCTTCTATCTAAGTGTAATTACAACATGATTACAATGTAACATGTTATATATATATATCTGCAAGTGGAAATTCTAATTAACATGTAACATACGTGTTAGTTACATGTTATACAACAGTTATATATCTGTATTTGTCCGGTAGTAATAATAACCTTACATTCATATAGTTGTACCAATTATGAAAAAATGATACTATAAATCACTATAAATGATAATTTCATAATTACGAGACCTCGGTAGTCGTAAGGACGCTCGCACGGAATGCGTGAGATCTGGGTTCGATTCCCGGCCGAGGTAATATTTTTGCAATAAAATTATTAGCAGTTTTTCAGATTATTATTAACACCAAAGAAAGAATATTCTTACTAGATGCTTATTAGCATAAAAAATTATTAAATTGCTTATTAACTTAATAAAGTTATATTACTACTCTGTTCTGCTCATGATGGTGTTTTAAGACCGAAAAATATTTCGGCACGTAATTGGCGCAATGTATACATAATCAGATTGTATATAAATCCACACAAGAAATATTTAAGCACTAAAATCCTGCTTTAACCTTCGTATTTAATTAAATTCAATTTGAACTTCTCCAATCACTTTTAATATTTGAATAAATGGACGACTCATAATCTGTGACATTTCTTTATTTTTCTCGTAAACTGTACATGATATTACGTAAATAAAAGGTTTAAGCAAAAATTATATTTTAAAGATGACCCAGAGGGTTTGCGAGTTATCACCGTGTCGTGATCCATTACTAATGCCGACGAATTTTATGTACCTTGCCATTCATTTCATCAGCGAGGAGCATACCTGATGATTTGTTTGTTTTTGAATCTATCCAATAATAGATTTAAAAACAAACAACTTTTATTTAAATCTTTTTTAAATATCATTTATGGGGGAAAAATAAGGAAATGTTACAGATTATGAGTCATCTATTTGTATATCAAAAGTTATTGGGGGTTTAAATTAAAATTTTTAAGATCCGAATCAAACCCTATGTGATAAATCAGATTTATCCTGTTCGACCTATATGATCCTATTTAAAGTTTTAGACTTAACCCTGATTTGTCCTGATAATTTCCGGAAAATCGAAATGCTACCGTTAGATAGTTCAGACAGGCTTTGATAATGAACATTTTTTCTTCATTTCAATCATACTAGCACCAAAAATGACTATAAATTATACTTATATTATAGTAATTACAATCTTTTTTCTATTAGTGTAGAAAGTATAATAAAAAGCATATATTTTAATTAAAGGAGCTATTTATTCAAATTAACAATTAATTATACAATAATAATAAATTTCCGAGTCGAAGTAATAGATGAACGTTCTACTTGATTATACCGTGTAACAACTTATACGTTAATTTTAAATTTAGTGCATTATTATTGTCTGTTATATTCAAAGTTTAATTTAATTTTGCTCATATCTAATTCAGGCCATGCTTAATTCGCTATGTATTTTATGCCGCGATTTCTGCGATATTATAATTCTCCAGTCGACATTGACGCGCGGATGAAACGCGAGCGCGATGAATCTCGATGGGAAATTTCGGCGTTATACGACAAACGGAACGCAAATGCTGATGCATTCATGCGGGCGGGCGATGCACATTCGCGTTTCGCGATAATAACGCTGCACGCGAACGGTCCGATCGTCGATTGACGAGCTGGGACTACCGCCAATTGAGCGGATCGTTTATCGGATGAATAATTAATCGTTTTTAATCGATAAATGCGGGATACGCTGGTATGTATCGGATACAGAGGCCAAATGCGCCTACGAAGCTCTCTCACGGAGCTCGCTGATCATCCGTCATTCCGTGCGAATGTTGCATGGTCACTCGTGCATACAGAAAATTTATTACTACCGCAAAGGCAGCTTGATGCCGAGCATCAGCACACGGTATTAAAGCTTTCAATGGCTCAACGTGGTACTCACATGGGACATGAACTCGGACATACTCGGCACTATTTTGACTAATTTCCCTTGTCGATGTTTCATGTTATATAGATGGTCCTTTTTTTATATAATTGCGGGTTTCTTTTTAATGTGCACCCTTGAGTGACTGTAGTTGTATAATAATATATAGATATAAGCAATATTGATGATTCAAGCGTTCTCAATTAGTACTTCGTGAACTATAGTCGTATCATGTTGGACCTGTCATGTTAAATTTCCGAAAGGGCTAGAGTGCTAATGAAAATAGATATGTATAAACAATTTACAATTTAAGCATAGAAAGAAATTTTTTTGATTGAACTGAATTCTGGACAAACAGTGGCTTTTTTAACAAAAAATGCTATATACAGGGTGTTTCCAAATTAAATGGCAAAACTTCGGGAGCGTGTAGAGGAGTAAAAAACTAAGAAAAAAAGTCCTATAGACATATGCTCGTTTTTGCTCCGTTTCAGAGAAATCGAAAAAAAATGTTTACATTTCTTGCCATATCTAGCACCGACATATTTGATTACATTTTCCACTTTCTGTTATGAATTTGTCAGTCGCTCTTTGAAAGCCTTTAACAGTA